TTGACACATCATTATTTATGCAAATATTCAGCTACCGTTAAACGTATAACAACAGATAAACATGCGCTGACCATGTATGAAGTCAGTAAAAACGTGGGCGTTCTCATTATCGAACGGAGATTAAAGAAATTGTGATGACCCTTGCCTTTGAAAACAGATTTGAACTTCGTAAATACACACTTCTATGTTATGTAATTACATAAAGTTGTAGACTGAATGTTGACCATTCTTGCAATTAAAGAAAAAAGCTTATTTTTTCGCAAATTTCGCATGTCCTTAAGTGTAGTCATCCTCTTTACCAAAGCAATGCCTGGTTTTATGAATCAAAATTTTAGCCACAATACATTAGTGTCGCCGTCCGGAATTTGACATCTATCCGGATTGGTTTTTAGGTCACCTACGCAATATCAATTGGAGGTCTATCGATCAGTGCCAGGTCAGCAGCCTCTCTCTTTTAAAATTCGAACATGTTTATGTTAATAGTTTTAATTACAACAATAACAGCGATGTAAACATCTAACTGAAAGATTTCGTTTACTTAGTTAATATTATGAGGACCTACACAATTATAACACAGTGATTACAACAGGTTTAATTTGCTCAAGACCTTTCAAGGTAGCTCAGTCGGTAGAGCGCTCGCTCAGTGATCGGGAGGTCGTGAGTTCGAATCTCGGCCGCGACTGACCTAAGTCGATTAAAAACTGCGTAGCAACTGTTCCTTTCCCATGCGCTCGGCACTTCGAAGTGAAAGTTGCGGGTTCTTCGGATGAGACCTTAAAACCGAGGTCCCGTGTCACGGCAGGCGTTGGCACGATCAAGATCCCTCACTGCTCAATGGCGAGTAAAGGTCAAAATTTGAAGCCCTTCACCGCTATATGGTGACGTCTCTATATGAGTGAAAAATTCTCGAATGGGACGTTAAACAACATACAATCAATCAAATAATTTGCTCAATTCTGCAAATTGCACTCTAAGATCTTAAAAAGATCGAGGTAACATTTTTGAATAATTGAAATCATGTGCACTCAACGGGAAAATCGAGGTCAAATCAAGGTTAACATAATAAGAACAGTAGAAGCGACAAGTTTTGATTTTTTTTGAATTGTTGAAAAGGATCACAGACAAATGATTAGAGTTGACTTTACTCCTCATCAAAATATTCATAATGGGGAAAGAGAAACTTCAGAAGTACTGTGCAACAACATATTCGAGAAGTGGTGTTTATTAGATATGTGAATCCAACTTATAGTTCCCTTTCTAAGGGGGAAATTCTTCAAAATCATCTGTCAGTTTTAAATATTTTCAATATTCCCAACAATCTAATTTGAATAACCCTACCTATACTGGATTCCTAAACTACATAAAATCCTTACATAGATACATAGCGGGTTCTACTAAATGTTTGTCAAATCTCTTTTCTTTACTCCTCACCAAACTATTAAAAGCATTGAAGGTAAAACTTCAGCAGTACTGTGAAACAACATATTCGAGAAGTGGTGTTCGTCAGATGTGGACTTTACAGACTCCAAGGAACTTTTAGAAAATTTGAAACCAAAATCAATATCATCAGAAGTATGACTTTCCAACACTTTAACCAACCATTCCCCGTGATACATTAAAGACCATGCTTTTTGACAACTGCTTTGTAAATAAAAACAGAACCTCGCAAATTTTAAAATATACATTGTCATTGTTCATTATTTGGCTAAGAGAAACATTCTGATCCTACACACAAAGATGCTGATTGACAATTCCTCTGTAGTTTTTGGAGATCAGGTCTTCTAGCAATCTGTTAAAATTCTTATGGTGCCAATTGCGCCCCGTTATAAGCAGACCTCTTTTGTATTCATATGAAGCAAAATTTATTCCTAAACTTCTTTATGAAAAGAAGATCCTTACTGTGGGTTTTAATTTGTCATTTAGATATATCAACGACGTTTTATCAATTAAAAATATTTTTTTTATTCTTACGTTGATTCGATTTGTCGTTTGAAACCGAAACAAATATATAAATTAACATTATGAAAAACTTGATGGCTTCAACTTTTCTTTCTTCAACTTCTCTTATAAATATAATATACTAGTACCATTATCAACTGCATATGGATTTACATGTATGTCTCTCAGTTGATGAATTCGCAAAAGCATGTTCTATGTACGAACAATTTCTAAAACGATGTAAGCTATTGACAAATAAAGTTGAAGAAACAAGGATATCAACATTCTCGTTTAAAGTCAACATTTCACAAATTCTATGGTCGATACAAGGACATTATTAGCAAATACAATCTACCGTTAAGTCGTGTGTTGATAGAAATTTTCAAAAATATTGATACGCCATTATTTTCAAACTGAATTGTATGCGGATTTTTCTGTTTGCCCGGTCATGACACGTAGCAAATTCGGGTGTAACCGGTCGACAGGGGATACTTATTCCTCCATGGCATCTGATCCTACCTCTGATATTTTAAGAGGTCTGTGTTTGCTCTGCTCCGAATCTGTATTGTTCCAACGGACTTTTGGACCTGATTATTATTTGTTATCTTCATTTTTCATTGATGCAGGTGTTTTGCAGGCAGGTATTCACAAATGTCCATATAGAATGGCTTGATGCTGTGCCCACAAATTCCAGGTAAAATCACGTATATTAATCAATCACAGGACTTCAAGACTACCATGTTTGTCTGCATTCGCGTCACTTTTGTCTATTGTACATATAGTGAGTGTTTTAGCTTTGGAAATAAAGCACGAGAGACTTATTTGCAAACAATGATCTATATAAATACATCTTTGTCTTTTTAAAAACTACTTACTAAAGAGGTACATTATTTTTAAATATTGGTCATGATAAAACAATTACATATCGTTAAAATCCATACACTCTGATTGTAACTTAATTAGATATCACACACTTATCAAAACAATATTAATGCATGTATATGTATACATACTCATGTTCATGAATTCAGTTTAATTTGTGATATTTATACATGCACGTATCTCATAACTCATTAGTCACGACTCAAATAGTTTAGGTGACCCATTATCGGTCCTCTTAACTATAGGAAACCTTTTGGTATCTTAGATAGTTTCCTTTTATCCACGGAATCGAACACCTGTTAGACTGTTAAAAGTTTTTTTTGGTTTAAGTATCTGTATTTGTAGTTGTTCCTACTCAAAATGTGGAAAATGAAAGGAATCAGTTTCTGTATTGCTTGTATGATATATTAAATGTTTTAACCATTTCAATTCATCTGCGGCTCAGAATTTATTTTTATTAAAAGGAAGAAAACAGAATTGGAAACCTTGCTATTGCAAGCAATAGCATTTGTCAACTCCCTTACCACGAAAAACATCATCTGTGCGTTATCTGAGGTATGAGCTGAGAAAACAACTTCTTTTTTAAAATTCTACAAAAATCAAACTCTCAGATTAAAGCCATGTCAATACACAATGGTTATATGACTGGAACATTTGTACTACTCAGAAGAAAAATTGAGCTCGTTCTAGATAACATTTATTCTCATTCTGTCCATTCAAACACTTAATAAAATAAAGTAATGCTAGGAATGTGTAATGTCGAAGAAAACTTTATAAAATCGGGTGTAATGCTATTATCACATAGCATTGATACTGCAATTGTGTACTCATATACCACGTACAAGAATGTTTAATGTGTACTGTCAACATACGGGCAGCCCAAATACTTCTAATTAAGTAATTCACAATATAATATTAAATAATGTTTCAAAAAGGCAATAAATATGGAGGTTCAAATCACAAGTTTGAAGTTGTTTAAACATTTTCAGATATGAATAAATACATGTATTTCCATGTGTTTTTTTCGAGTACAATGTAGTTTATTTACCAAATTATTTATATTTAATACACCACTTAAATCTGTTTTTACTATTTATAATTTCCTATTACAAGACAAATTTTTCAACATCTGAAATATGAAAAAGGACATACAGCAAGAGGACAGTGGGTCAAATGTAAAATGCACACGAAAAATCTGTATATTTAATTAATAAATCGTTGAAATACACTTCTGAATTATTTAATACTTGACCAGAAGGTCTATAATGCAAATTTTATTGAGAACATTATTAAACTTATGATAATAAAAGTTAGGAAATCTAAACATTACACTAGGTGGTTTATATTTGATATTTATGTGTGACTGACTGGAAATAATTCTCCAAAATAGCATCCATTTATATAAAATAATCGAAAGTAATCAAAAAGTAATTATAATTACATTGAAAATTTAAGCTGTAATCGATTGAATTACAATTACAAGTAATCGAAAATCACTTCAATTACAGATTACCGTCGATTACTAAAAAAAGAAATCATTACAATCGATTACGATTACTCGATTACCCCATCCCTGATTTTTACAAGCGCTGTCTGCTTTAACTATAATATATTATTTTTGTTGTTTTTGTAATTCTTTTACAACTTCCAACTGAGTGAAAACGGAAGGATAGATGGTTAGTATGTTGTCTGTAACTTTATGACATCATTCTTTTATATATGTAACTAAAACATTTCAAAAAAATTTAATCCATTCTGAAAGAGTGTTTTGGTCTTCCTGCTATATATATCACCCATCATCTAGCATAATCCTCGACAGAATGCATAATAGAAATGAAGTTCTGCCGCCAATCGAAAGATCGGGGCTCGCTGTATTTAGGATCTTTTAGAATAATTGCTTTTAGGTCGTTATTTTCAATTATATTTACAGTACCAAGAATGAGTCGTCCAGCGAGATTATAGTAGAAAAAAAAGAAACCAAGAAGACTTGAGAGGAGTTTGGTTTAGATGTTCAATATCAAGTCATTGAAATGTTTTGTTTATAATTGAAACTTTGGAATATCTAGTTAGGAAATATCTGTATGCTTCACCTTGAAGTATGGTAGAATTCAACACTAAACTTATTTTATGATTACGAATGTTTCTTAACATATATTACTTTATTGACGAATTAAGTCGTCTCATTCATCCTTTAAATAATATTTTGCAACTCGAACATAGACCCAACGAAAGATTGCATAAGTCTACCACACAATATTTGAGTCCGGGGTTAAAGTACCGACAAAACGCTTCTGCAAACACTATTATTAGTGAATCCTTCCATCAGTGAGTCATGAAGAAAGAGGTACTGCTCCTAAAAATATGAAAAGAAGTAGTAACAATTTAATGAATAATTAAACGTTACTCTCTTATGTATCACAGAGCAAACAGCTTAAAAAGCAGTTGTATGATAAATCTCTCTTCGAGATATACATATAATGTATAAAAATATATTATATATATTTATACATTTTAATCGAATTTCGAAAACAAAAACCTTACGCAAGTCTGTACAGAATTCCCGCGCTGATGTCGAAGAGAAGCTACATATCCTTTGACGTCAATCGTCTGTTCAGCAGCGCCCTCTTCCAGAAGATAATCAAGGGAGATAAATGTTCCTGTTCTACCAATCCCTGCACTAAAATAAAATAAAATAATAAAAAAAAAAAAAACAAACAAAACTCTTCATGTTTATTGAACAAATACATATAACAATATTCTTGCGGTAATCTATATTCATTGCTATGTATAAGATATTCTATTTAAATTATAAATTACCATATTCTACAGCAAAATAAGTATATTTTCAATTTTCCTTATTTATGTAGTACGTAATATTGATATACCCACTTGTTTTCTCTACGATAATTCTTTAAAAGTTTATTGTGTTAATTTCCCGATATATAAAATTGAGTGTAAACTTCGACAAGTGACAGGACAAGTGCCTTATCTGCATGTCATTTGGTGAGATTCCAACATTTGTCTACAATGTAAACAAGAACGCAGAAATCATCCGATACACACCGCCTTCAGGAAATAGTAGACACGGAAATACTACCGATGTTGTAAACCAATTTTGTCCTACATACAACGGTTTTTTTTTTTTGCATAACGGGCAAGGCCCGATATTCATATATTATCCCACGTTTCCAACTGTCATTACTGAACTGACATACCCAACGAACTATAGACAGTGATATTTGAATATTTCACAATCACCTGCACATGGTGTTAATTTCTCAGAAATGATTCGATACTCAAGTACACGTTCTGAGTACGATCAATTTTAATATGAGGAAGGCTACTGACAAATAATATGAAGTAACAAGAATCTATCTCATTTAAAGTCAGTATTTCGTAAAATATATGGCCATTATAACATATGTCATTGTTTGCAAATACATTGGATGGTAGTTTAACTAACATATTTCATACCAATTGCTACATTATGTTTTATACTAGTTTTCAAAGAACTAGTCCGTATACCCGATCTATACAGAGAGCTCACAGCGGGTGTGGCCGGTAGACGAGATGCTTACTCCTTCTAGGCACCTGATCTCACCTCTGTTGATTACAAAGATCCGTGATTTTTTCCTTGTTTTGGATTCATGTTCTTTACTAAATTTCTGAAACTGATCACCGTTTCACTTTTCTTTAATATTCTATAAAGTGTTTACCTGCAGTGAACAACAATTGGTCCGTCTGACGACGTCAGCCCATTCCTGACCAAATTTCGGAAGCAGATGAGTGACATCAGATCCTCCGGGACGGAGTTATCAGGCCACGTGGTAAAGTGAAACTGTGTCACTCTTTTTTCCTCTTCCTAACCAAGTGAGACAAGTAAGTAAAAGGTCAATGGGTCAAAATGTAAAATTTCAAATACATAACTGCTCTGTGCAAATTAACGTATATAATTGACTTTTAGTCATTTGCATGCAACAAATTATATTTCAATCGGATGTATCGTCTTTGATTTTATAATGTACTTCTGTTTCTCTATTCATGCGTAACTTGTACCATAATCTTTGTCTGAAGTAACGCTAAATTACATAAAAAGTGCAATCATACGATTTAAATTTGTATTGAACGAAATAATACAGGAAAAATACAAGACGAAGCGACATTCACGAATCTAAATTGCCTACGTCACTACACAACAATACCTAGGCTCAAAATTCATAATTTCAATGTTCAAGTTTATAGCAAGAACATGGCTGATGGGATATGAAATTTTCGTCATTTTTACATATTCGGATAGTCAATCCAGTTAAAATTTTTTTAAAATTCAAACAAAATACCAATTTCTCCATTGCAAAAATATGTGTCCGACATGAAGGCAAAAGGAAATATGACATGGCTACAAGAAGAAGTACATAATGACCAATATACGCGTAAAATTCGTATTTGCTACGAAGATCGAGTAAAATAAAGCATTAATATTACAAGTAACCTGATATTGGACAAGTAAATAACGCATTATATAGTTGTCATACACGTCCACTGTATCCAGTCTGATGGTATATGGTCCAATGTCCAGTTCTGAATCCGGCCAGTACTTTAGGCACTTCATCTAAAAGGAGGAAGGAAAAAAATTAGAAATTTATTATAAATCAACATAAACACATTCCGTATATAAAATGTTTTAAACTCAAGGAATTCTTAATATTTAGATGATTAACGTTTATGTCATGCTTTCCATCTCACTAATAATAAAGTACTCATAACTATGAAGGGAAATAATATATGTATATTGACCCTTTTTTACTTTAATTTAATGAAATGATTTGTTGTTACATTATCTCAGTTTTGTATTATAATTGTTCAGCTTCACCTTATCACCTTCGTACAGACTGGTCAACATAACAATTCTTGTGGAGTCGTTCTGCCATATTACTGTCCAAAAATCCTCTAATGTCTTTGGATTGAAAGGACCTATTTACATAGCTTACATTGATAAATCATTTAACTCTAATTAATTATCAAATCTGACTTTAGGTGAATTAATTTTCATTATCTCCATATTTCTATTAAGATGCTGATAATTTGGGATAAAGTGTGTACTTAATAAACAGGAAGGTATTAAAATTCATTTCATCCAATTAAATAAATTTCCAAAAGTGTTCACAACTGTCTGAAGTTTTTAGCAACATTTGTACTTTGAGGAAATATAACTTTATTTTCATAAATTAAACTGAGAATGTACCTTGTGCGGCTATGTAAGCACGTTCTTTGTTGAAACCCTAAAACAAAATATAACAGCACTGATTGGAATAAGTACTTCCATACATTTTTTGTGAAAAGGCGTGGGAAATTACAAGATAGAAAATTAATGTAGCATCCCAAAATGTATCTGACGAATTCATTTTTAAACTGACGTGAATATATGAAGCATTAACAAAGTCATCGTCTTTTTCAGGTTCCGCTCTGATCAGCTTCACGCGATTATAGTCATCTGAAAAATGAACCTAGATTGAACAGATGTAAGTATTCAATCATACGTCAATAAAATTAAAGAAACTGATTTTATGCAAAATACTATAAACAATTTTTTTATTCCCGCGAGGCTTCACTTTCTTTCAAAGACTTTAACTCACAGGGATAAATGCCTTTGTATCTGTTCCCGTTCCTGCTGGACGTTTTAAGTGCGTTCGAGTAGGATTCTAGTAATCCATTTGGAAGGTCCTGTGATTAAACAAAAAATAAATTCATTTGTTTATTAAGACTTTTGATTGAGTGTTTAAATTCTCGTATCAGAAACAGAACTTAATCGGTGAATTCCGTTTTGTAGCGAAAGAAGATTTTTTTTTTTCAATATTTACGAAAGAAAATTTAGAGACTTGTAATTTGTAGCATTGTACTGAATGGACCATATTGTGACGTTTGAGCTTTGGTCAACGTTTATTCAATGCAATTTAATAAATTTGTTGTCGGAAGTTTGAGTTTAAAGTAAATTTTTAACGCTATTTGACACGTCAATAACATCCGGGTTAAAGAAAATATAAATAGACTAATAAACATTGCGACATACATAAAATTCTTTTTCTAGTGTACCGGTGCGTCTTTTCTCCGGTAATTCCCTTAAAAACTGTTCTATGGAGACCCTCTGTGAAGTCAGATTACAATACTCTACTGTAATGGTTTCCTCCTCCTCTACATAATCGGCCTCGTTCTGAGGAAGTTCTTCTAGCTCCGTTTCATTTCTCGACTCCGATCTCTGAAGATTGACAGGAAGTTGAATCTCCTTGTCTGTTTTGGACTTTAGTTTGTTCCACCTATTACATTAAAAAGCAATTTTAAGCTTGAAAATAAGGAAAATATAAAGATTTTTTTTATATATTTTTTTTAATTATTATTATTATTTTTTTTTTATCAAATCCTGCATAAAAACAAAGCTTGTTTTACTGCAACTAAAGCGCAAAGTTATTCTGAGTATTATAACAATCTTATGATATAATAGGTTGACTGAAAATGAATTACTCTATACGAAGAAAAGTCTTATAAGCATTATGTAGATGCATGGAGTTGTAAAGAAAATTAAAATAAAATTAAGCACAACATGAATTTAAAAGCTGATTGTATTATCATGAAAATGTATTGATATTTTAATTGAATTCAAATATATTTTATAAATTGTGTCTCTAATTGTCAATAATGTATTACAGACAACTTTTACAATACCTTAGAAAGAGAACAATAATAAGTAGTAGTAATAAAACAACCAACACACTAAGAACCATCAGCAAGACTTGGAATGGATTTTGATCCTTTTCTTCATCTCTATCATCTCTATCTTCTGAAAGAATCCCACCTGTTTATATATATATATATATAGTTCTGATAAGTCTGATGGTTGGGGAGAACAGCGTTCATGACGTCACAATATACAAATCAATGCCAACCTTGTATTACGTGTTTCAAAGTCCAGGAAATCTGTTAGCCCTCTCACACTTTTTGATGAATTTGGCATAGTCTTGCACACCACTCGATTGATTAGTGTTAGTTCTTGTAAATTATTTGACAGATTTCCTTAATTTTGCACCCACTACAGACACAACACTTAGTTCTCGCACACTATTCGATTCATTAATTCGATCTTCAAAGTTAGTATTGCACCCACCCGACAGATAAAGGTGAAATCTTGCACAACCATGAACTGCACGATAAGGTTTAGTCTCGCACACACATAGGTTAGATCTTGTACACTGTTTGCCTATTTGTGCTTGTTTCGCAATCACGCCAGATTTTAAGGTTAGTCCTCGTACACTTTAGGAATATCCTCGCACCTTTTCGAGAGATAAGGGTACTGTACTATGATAAAAAATCAAAACCTACGATATTTTCATCTGTACAATTTAAAAAAAATCATTGGACTTAGGCATGGCAGCAACATAGCACTATGGCACATCAATTAGACCATCAGACTTTGACGACTGTTTGTGAACCATCGAACTCTGGCGACTTCACATGAACCATCGGACTTTGGAATCCCACTGCATTTTTGGGGTTTATGGATTTGTAAAAAATTCCTTGTAATCGAGATTTCTTTATAAGCGAGTTTTTTTATAACCAAGTTTTACTTAATTAGATTTAAAAAAAAAAAAAAAACAAGTACATGTAAACCTAACCAATGTAAAGATGATTGTTTCAAATCAATTTTTTATACTTCAACATTTTTCATGCACAGATGTGATCTCGAGTTAATACTTTTGAACAAAATAGAATTCTATGCTTAGATAACATCAACTTCATGAATTAATATCATATCATCCATAGACAAATTGATAATGGATAAAAAAAATTTTCGTAAGAAATTTCAAGAAATTTGCTAATTTATTGCATTAATCTGTCTATGCCCTCGTAAACGCTTAAAATATGATTGCAAATAAATGCTTTAGTGACTTTGCCAAAGCGAATAGTCCAGAAAAAGTGTTTTTATGTTTCTTGGCAGTCAGACTTTTTCCATATAACCCCACATAGTAGTACATTAAATATAAACAAGAAAACATTGATGTAACCATCAATTGTCGCCCGGGAAATAAATAAAGTAAACAATGGAAATGAGTCTTTATCATCAAACCGCTTCGATATGTGTGAAAAAGGCATGCGTCTAAATGATGGAGACGATAGTCGAGAATATTTTGAAAACTTATAGTCGGATGAAAATCGAACAAAAACGATACCCTTTTAAACTTTATCAATTCCTCAAGTAATTAATGTTGGCTGCATAAAATATAATTTGAAACCAGACACATGCATCACCTATTTTCAAAAATATCTTTCACTTTAAGAATATAAAACACGAACTGTGTAAAGTACATTTTGACGTTTTTATGCGATAAGTAAAATTCGATGTTCTAAAAAAAGAGACCTGTCATTTTTTCGATAGTAAATGATAAGCAACTTTATATATTAAATATGAAAAACATACATATTTTTACAGATTCACTTTATGGAAGTAAATATATTGTGTATCTCGTAATTTATAAAGGGAAAGAACATTCTGATTAACAATCTTTTTAATGTTTAGAAAACCTTTAATTCTGAATAACTTCTCCCACCTCAATCCCCATATACCAACACTTAAACTTATATGTATAGAGCAGCCCGGTCCTCCGGGCTGCAATAACGATTACCTAACCGCATATTACAAAAACTAATTTTAACTCAGACATCTAAAAAATTTCTGACTATTTTGTATTGTTCAAGCTATGAATTAAGGAAGTGACTGCATACCTCTCAATATATTGATATCAACAGTACTAGACTTCCTCTTCGCATAATTTGTACTGCTAGTGACCACTTCAGTTGTGTTATCTACAGGAAACAATGTTTATATTTTTACATATCGTTTAAAACAAAAAGACTAAATGGAGTCGCATATAATTGCAATTTAAGAACCCTCTCTACACTGCACACTAAAGAGTTCTGATTCTATAGTATTTTTCTGCGTTAGAGTGATCTGCCCTTAGATCTAACATCTAGAAAATAGATATTTACAGTATATTACTCAATTTGTAATCAATTCATGTATTCTTAACATTTTAAAAGGCAAAGATAAATTAATTGAACGTGTTATTAACACGTATTTTCTCTATGGAAGTACACAACAGTGATTTCTGTTCACTGATACTGTGTGAGGTTTGAACATTTTTCCTGGGGGTAAATGCCAAGTACCATATAGTGAAAATAGATTAGATAAGCTCAATATTAACATCTTTATACAATATATTTTTCTCAATGTCCAAAAAACATTCTGCACTGGTGTAGAGAGGGTCCTTAATTAAAACTTTGCATCAGTTCATAATTAGTTTACATAAATTTTTAATAAACATTCTGTACTTATATTATTTAATTACATCTGTATCAATTATGTTGTCAAATCTTAAACATAAGCAAAAAGTGCATTAATTAGCATGAAGCAAATATCATTTATGATAAAAGGATGATTGAAAAATAAACATTTCCACCTACAAGCTGTAGAAATTTGAAATTCACAGTACTCTCCATGATATCCCTCTCTACAGCTAACACAACTTCCGGTCATCTGGTCACATCTCATCTTGAGGCAAGTCGTTGGACATTGATGTTGACAATAATCACCAAAGAAAGATTCAAGGCATTGATTACATACACCAGTTATAGGGTTGCAGGAAACACATTTCGTGTTGCATTTTGCACAATTTATTCCATATTGCTTTTCAGGACAAACTACAATTAATTTCTGAAAATTAGCAACATACTGAAATAGTATAAGAAAGGTTAAAGTGAATACTACTTCATATCAGTAAGAAAAATAGGTTGCTGATAAAGTTTCGCGTAGGACATAATATCATTACATGTAATGCAATGTTCAAATCTCCATGAGATATTTTCAAAAATAAATTTTAAATATGTGATGAAACAAGTGTACATAATTTCATTATTGTTATTGTACAAAATTTACAAATAATTACTTTTAGGGTGCACTTCAAACAGCTTTATTGGACCTTCATCTGTTCTTCTTATTACAATAGAGTCCCCTTTCACTTCTTTTTCACACTCTACTAACATCTGGTATTTTGTAGCCGGTTTACTTAGATTCAGTACTTGGCAAAGTGTCAACTCATTTAGAAGGTCTAGTGACTTAGATATGTGCACTTCGTATTCTCCTAATTGAATAAAGACTCAAAGTTATTAATGAAATCTTTCCAAAGTAACTTTTCAATAAACTTAATAATTCCTGGTTTTCACACTATACCTCCTCTCAGAAGAACGAGTATCCACTTTATGGCGTATAAATCGTTCAGCGTCATAAACCATGTAGCATTATAATTTTCTTTAGTCACAAAGTTTGTGATTAGGTCGCCGTCAAAAGCCCTTTTGCCTTCTTCGCCACCGGAGTGGTTCTTTAATTGGTTTATTTTCAAAGGTTCATATTCTAATTGTTAAAAGGAAAAAAGAAAGTGTTTCATTTTCACAGATAACATAACTTTTTGTAGTAAAAAGATTTAAAAAAATCACCTAAAATTCATACCTATTGGTTTTACTTCATAAATTTGCATGGCACCACCATCTATTTTTGTTATGATAATTTTATTTCCTTCAACAACGTTATAATTATAGAAGTTGCATGTAACAATATCATATTGGCTGGTTGCATTGCACATCCTCTCTATCTGGGTACAAGCTCGGGGTTTAAGTGAACTTCGTTGCATTTGGATTTCATACTTTCCTTTAAGAAAACAAAAAGACAATAAAAAGATAAATAAAGAAATTAAGCACATGCCTCCACTCCCTATTGAAAATTTTGAATTTTGACAAAAAAGGTTTTTTGGTTTCTCATTACCAATTAAATACGGGCTTGAATACCAAACATGACAAAGGGCATAAAAAAAAATACAGAATTTTTTAGCCTCACGATATTGTAACAAAAAAAAAAAAAAAAAAAAAAAAAAAAAAAAAAAAAAGATATACCACAACTAATTCTCAGGAAAATCCCGAAGATTGGATAATTTCTGTCAAGATTCATTGACCAGCTCTGGTTTGTGCCCTTCATAGTTAGAGAAAATGTCTCCATGTCGTCATCACATGCGTTATTTGCATAATATGATCCATTCGTAGAGGACTGTTGTGCCTCACATATTCTATTCTGAGAATTACCTTCCAAACAATTCCAAAAAACAATTTCATTAAAATATTTGCGTATAGAAATGCCTTTATATTTTATATCCTATAAAATACCTTTACAAGGTCATGATTCATGCACATTTACAAATTTTATGTTTACACCCCGTAAGCATTTATATAATTTGTTTCAGTATTAAAAATTGAAAAAAAACCCGGATACGTACCTTTTATCAAACTCACAAATAAAAGTATAGTAGCACAGACGTACAGCCATGGATTGTAGAGAATTAACATTGGTAGCATCATATGAATATTGCTCCACACTAACATCAAATATTGAAATAGTTGAAATAGTTCATGAAGTTTAATAAAATCTACTTAAGTGTTTCCGTGTGTGCACTTGGTTTCAGATCGGATTCTCACCAGATATGTCATTAGTTTGTTTCTCATATAAAACTGAAGCAAAATGCCCGAATAATTGATTTATACGGAAGATTATGACTTTTAAAATAGCATTGCGAATTTCCTGCATATTTAAGGCACATCATGTCTATGTATGTACATATTTACTAGCATATTCCAAGAAATCTATAGAAAAATGAAGAATAATTTGAAAAACATTCCAGTTTCAATGTACATAATAAAGTAAACCATAATTATGATTCAGTACAGCACAGGGAAATGAATGGAATAATGTCTTTATTCAAAATGTACAATGAGGAATCTCGATTCTGTCTCATAATGTTATTAGCAATGTAACTATGACGTCAAAACATTTCGACATGCGATGTCAAAATCATTCTGGAATGAAAGCAGAATGATGAACATGTTAATTTCAGAGCAAAAAGATATGCATATATC